GATCTTGCTGTAATTTATATAAAAGTTATGACTAGCAGTTATGGTCAAACCCAAGTATTGTTCTTCTGTTAAAAATAATTACATTTTGTTTTCTGCTTGCATTTCTGCTTTATGTACTTCGGCTGCAGTTTTGTTTATTACTTCTCAGCCTGGAGGAAACTTATTTTCTTACCCTGTGAATTTGGATTTTGCTGAAAATTAATTTAGGAGAAATGATTATGCTGGTGTTCACTGTTTTCCATTTCCTCCCCCTCTTCTGCCAAGTGTGTTTTTTTTAACAATTATTATTATTATTATTATTATTATTATTTTCAATTGAGAAGGCACACACCTTAGTGTATGCCTGTGCTGTCTTTTATTTTTTTGAGCTCAGTTTAAACTGACTTGCTTGGGAATGAGAAACAGAATAGCAGCAGTCATTTGGAGCAAGATGCAGGCTGGCAGGGAAGATAGTTGTCAGATGTATGTGAGAATGCTTTTTGGCAGTTACACTTTTTAACTTCGTCATGACAAAAGCTTCCCTCTATTTCAAGGTCTTAGATGTTTGTATTGAGCAAAACAGAGGGATGGGGGGGGTGCAGTTCAGATTAATTAGACACGTTAGAATTGTTTTCTCAGGGCTTAAAGTTGTTGCTTGAGAGATATTTATGTTAGAAATTCCTTCCCTGACAGGTACAAATAAACATTTATTGTAGGTGATGGTAAAGAGAGATGCCCCTGCAAGCTCTGGCATTTCATCTTTTACACGGAGCAAAGGCGTGGGAGTCCAGTGTGCCGATTGTAATTCCTAGATCTGAAAAATGTTCCTTTGTTAATACCCTGCAGTCACTGTTTTCTGGACACAGGCTGTAGGGGAATCTCTACAGTGCTGTAGGTATGTTTGCTGTTTTGCAGCTGCAGAAGCTGGAGTGTGCTCAAGTGACACAAGCTGGTGGGAGGTGGAATGAAATGCTGTCTTTTGCCTGTGTGCCCTGATTTCAAGGCACATCTTCTAATGCCATTACTTACCGATAAATGTTATGGACTTTGGTCTGCTAAAGTGTAAGGTTCTGAAAATCTCTGGCAAACTTCACTGCTCTGTTTTAGGATGTTGCTGTACCACTGAAGCAGGAGATGAAAATTACAATGTGCTGTAGCTTAGACAGACTGAGCTTAATTCCCTCAAGCTGTCAAAGGCAACAGGTTTTGAGCTAAGGCACTTGCAGACTGAAGCAGCTATGTATGGTTACAAGTATCCTGCTGCTGCTTCTGACAGCTTCAAAAGGAGTAGAGAGGATTGACCTCACACATCGGTGTCAGCACTGTCTGCCACAACTCCAGTGTGAGTTTGGCAGGTCTCAGTTGAAGATAGTTTACTGTCACATCGTTTACCAAGAGCAAATTATGTAGCTCCAGTTTTTTGTGTTGGTAAAGAAATGAATCAAAACAGGGAGATTTCCAACTTGATCATATAGCTGCTGCTGCTGCTACCGTGAGGCTTTTGTAAAGCTATTCCTTCTAAAGCATCCAGGAGGCAGTTCCAGCTTGGATCCTGCAAGGGACAGCTGTTTTTTCCTAGGTGACAGAACTAAGCTTTGTTGGAGGGTGGGTGATTTTATTAGGACTTGGGTAAGAATTTCAGTTCATCTTGTCCTAGTGCAGACTGTAGAAGGTATGTCTTCAAACCAGAATTAATTTGGGAAGTATGTCCCCACTACAGAGCCCTGCTTTTGTGAAACTTGAGCTAATGGTGTGAGAGCTTAGGTGGCACACCAGGCAGGCAAGGTAGTGTTAATTTTATTTATATGATCACTTTTTAACTGGGCTGTCAGTCCATCACAGCAAGTATCTGAAGTAGAGTAAGCACACTGCATGTTTTGGTCTGTCTTATTTCAGCTCATGATAACAAGTGCATTACAATGTACCACTGACTCCTGAGAGGCAGCAATTAGTAAAATACCTCAAACCTTTTGAAATAAGTTGCCACAACTTCTGCAAAGAACAAATCCATTTCAATGTATGTATAAAAGAAGAGAGGAAAAAAGCAACACCACAATTTTTCACTCCTTGCCTCAGCGAAGGATCCACATTATGGGGCATTACACTCTGATGTTGATATAGGCTGCCTTGTTTTCATTTTGGGGTGTTCAAAGGGGACTTCACTGTCGTAGTGAGATGTGCATGAACAGCTGACTGGAAGTTCAAAAGCATTTGTGTGGAGTGAAAGATGGTTTATTTTCCACTTGCCAAGAATCATTTTTGTTTTATTTAGATGAAACCAGATTATGGCATTGAAAACCCAACTGTATTAACATTCTTACATAAGGCAAGTTGGGAAGTGATGTTACAGTTGAACTAATTGTTAATTATACAAATAGTCTTGCTGCATATTTTCTTAAGACTTCAGGAATGTTTTGTGATACAGTAGATTTGGAGAGTTTTTATTCTGAGGGGAAAATAGAGTAGCACATGAGTTAGGAATGAAGATACTAAACAAGGCATTTTCTGCACTTGGAAGCATGCTTAAAATTGATTAAATATTTGCTTTCAAGCATTTAATCTTCATCTTTGAGGCAGGAACATGCTACCTCTGTCTTTCTCCTTAGGGCTTGTTGTAAAACTCTATTCAAACCTTTGTGGTGCCTTACATACTGGGTAATGGAGGATCAGCATCCCCCTTTTGTTAACGTCCTGCTTTTGTCCTGTTGTTCACTTGACATAGCTAGAAAGAAGGGCTAATGGTTGCTGAATAGTAGCTTGTGATGAATTTGAGGATTGGGCTTTTCAATCCCTGAGCCTTCCCCTGTCGTTGCTAACAATAATCTACAGCTTCTGTTCTGTTTAAAACCCAAAATAAAATAAGCAATAAAAAAAAAATCCCTATTCTGCACATCTGGGATAGAAATGGAATTTGGTTTTAATATTGAAAAAAAAAGGGCAAATTGTTTTGAAAGGAATATAGAATGTTTACACTTAGGTGTTTCAGATTTAACTCTCTTAAATGTCACTGTTCAAACTGATTTACAAAAGATCTGAGATTAAAAAAGAAAAAGCTTAGTGATTTTAAAAATTTTTTAAATGTTTTTCTACTCTGCAAATGTAAATGGATAAACCAACTGCAATACAGTTTAAAAAAGGGAAAAAAAGTTACCCTCTCCTTGCATCCCCAAACAGAGTACCTGTGTTTGCACTAATGCACATTATTCCCATGAGAATATTTTAAGGTCTGCCTAGGGACCCACCTTATTGGTAGCTCTTTGATTCCAGGTAATTGATTGCCCTGCCTCAGATGATTTTTAAGCTTTAGTGGGTATAGCACTTGAAGTGAATTTTTGCAAGAGTGGAAAGTGGTTAGGAGGCATTACCCTGGGGAAAAGGGGGATTGGATGGGAGTAGGCATTAATGAGAGCAGCTGTGAAGATACAAAAGCAAAACCCAAACCAAAACACAGTGCAAACATCTTGAGGAACAGCTGTGGAGTTTCTTTCTTTTTTTTGAGCTGGGCCCTGGGAGATTTCTTTTGGGAAGGAAAGTGTTAAGACTTGTTACCCTATTTATGTGAGTGTAGTGTTTCAAAAAGTACTGTAGAAGAAATCACATTTGGCATTTCTGCTTTGATTGCCTATTAAAAATACATACTTTGTCAGACGTTTTACACTCAAATAACTTCTGCTGGTGTGATGTGATGTGTTAGATTTACATTTTCTTTATTCCTCCTTTCTCCTGCTATTAAATTCCATACGCTGTTCTTTCCCAAAGATTGCACAAACATCAGATTAAACACATGGTGGTTCTAAATATCACTTTCCTAGATCCATGACAGAAAAGAGGCATGAACAAATGTCTACAGTGATCATACATTTACTGCAGGTTTTGCATCTGGTAGGCAAGTCTTTGTCTGCAGAGGATGCTGCAATAGGTGACCCCATCCACTGTAGGGTGTCAGGAGGTGGTAGTCACTTTAAACTAGAGTGTCAGCTGATGTCTGTCTCTTGAGCACGGGAGTGGGGAAAGCACACCTGAGATGCCAGTGTTAACTGTGTTTCAAAGACCCTGCAAAACTAAATTAGTGTTTTCAGTGTTCCTAATTCCACTTTGGCAGGACAATTTTTTGCTTGCCTGCTGGACACTTAGCCATGTTGTTCCTTGAAAGTATTTTGCTGCTAATGTGAAAACCACTGAAATAAATCCTTCTTCAGTACACAGCTTTTAGTATTTTCCTTCAAGTAAAGATGTAGGAATAGCTTCAAGCTGTTCTTTAAAACTGTTACCACAGGATGGGGCTGTTGCACTGCCCAAATGTGATCTGTCACTTCAAAGAACTGCAACCAAGCACTGTTTTCAGTGCTAACCTGAAACTACACTCCTGTCACTTTTCTTTATTATTCACCAGTCTATGTAGTGGGCCTCAGTTTATTCACTTTCAAGAAGTAGGAAACTTGGAGTAAAATGTTGTTGGCTTGCTAAGTGTAGATCAACTTCGTTTCTTTTAGAGGCAGCTTTGTACCATATGACAAGCCCAGGTAGTGAGGTAATAATCCACATAAAGGGGATTTGGTTCACATATCACAGAATATGTTAAATATTAAATTGGGGGGGGGAGGGGGCTAAGCCTTTATTAAATCCATATTTGTGTCTTAGAAATGTGCCAAGAAGTGTTCTAATGAAGCAGCACCTGGGGGTTAATAAATGATATCATAAATCCATTCTGATTGCCAAGAAAGATTTTAATAAAGGAAACCATGCCCAGGGTTGACTGTTTCATCCACGAGGAATAATTGTTTTGTTTCCATTTTTCTTTTATTGGTTGGTTATAACAAGTTTGCTTTTTAGCATCAAGTCGCTTATGGTTGTCCTGCACATTTCTGTGTACTATTTGCATAAAGAGCTAGCCCTCAGTAGGTCTGCCAGTGCAAATTGTTGGGGGTATTATTTTGATTGCATGAAGAGCTTCCATCTTTTACTGCCTTTTACCTTCATCTCATGTTCCTCTGTTCCCTCTTCTCCCCTCAAACATTCAGGGTGAAATGAAGTCTGAGGAGGGGCCAGAGTGGAATATACTGCGTGATGACTTCATGATGGGAGCATCTATGAAGGACTGGGACAAGGAAAGCGATGGAGAGGGTGATACTGAACAAGGTCTGAAACAAGAAGATGACAATGACTGAATGAAACTGAAAACAATTCAAGATAATGTCTTATCTTCTTAACTGTGTCTGGATAAAAAGTCAGCATTCTGTGAATGTACAACACTTGGAGGATACCTCTTTTTTAAAAAAAAAAAAAAAAAGACTTACACAACCTTGGAGTGTTTTCTCCTCCATGTCAAACTTTTATTTAATATAGCTCCATTTGCTATACTGAAATCCTGAAATATTTTCCAAAACAAGTATAATTTTCAACATATTTCCAAAACATTTTGTACAGTCAAAATAGTGGCACTTGCCCAATGAAGGAAAGATTTTGCCAAGGTCATTAAAAGTTTATACATTAGTCATGGCAATTGATGTATTAGCATGCCTGCATTTCCAAATCAGTGTTGCACTTTGAAAAGTTGTTGCAATTTGCAATAGAAATGACTTACAATAAACACAGAAATGCCGTCACCTTGTAAAGTTATCAGACTCCTATAGAGTCTTTATTACTTTGGCCAGAAAAGGTTCTGTAGATAATAAAGAAAAGTAACCATTAATGTGATAGTTCTGGTCTTGGAGCATTAGTTTGATTCGACACAACTCTGGAGACACAATTGTAAAAAGAGAGATTTGACCC